ACACAAATTCAAATTGTATAAAAATAACATAAAATTGAGATGCGCTAAACTAGTGATTACACAGCTCTGTCATTGGATAATCACTTAAACAAGCTTGCCTGTTCCTAAAAACCTTCAGGAAAATCAAAAAGTGCAGACCAATTGGTCACACTTGCTGATCAATTAGTGAGTGTCGAACCTTTTCGAGAAGCAGACTGAATAAATGCATATATACATATAAATACATATAGTGTATTCCTTAATGAAAAATTAGACGGCCAGATGCCAACATTGTTCGACCACCCATTGATACCGTTCAAATGCCGAATCAATTTTTACCAAAACACAATGCTTAGGGCTTAGGGCTTAGGTTTTAGATTTTAGATTTTAACTCTCAAGTTTTGAAAAACAATAACAGCTTCAAAAACCAATTTGTTAAAGAAAAAGAATGCGCATGGTGAATATGTAGTGCACAATGATTATGCTGTAATGAAATGATGTTAAAATTGCTAACAACGATGCAAAAATTATTCAATGAAACTAGTTCATCAACAATGCTAGTTTCCGTATGCATATATATATTGAGCATGAAAAGCATTATTCAGTAAAGCTATTATGTTTGAAATATCTTTTGATTTTCAGATAACTTCATCTTCCTATTATTTGGGAACTAAAAATTATACACCTACAATAATGTATAGTAATTACTTATGGATTATAAAAATAAATACAAACTTTCCACAGGTGTTTGTGCAAAAATTATGAATTCAGTGAATGTATATCATGTACTAAAACACAAAAAAATTAAAAAAATCTAAAATAAAAATCTAAAAATGTACTGTACAGAGGAGGCAGAAAATTAGGCTACTGAGACTGTAGGCGCATTAATCATATAAAATCTTCAGGGAATCAACATAACAGCTATTACATTAATAAGCCTTTCACATAGAGAATAGATCTATTTATATCCATAAGTGGAAACCAAGATGTAACAGCAAGTGCAGTTCTCACAAAAAATTAGTAACAATACCATGGTACAAAGCTTATGGAAAGTCATCTGTTGCTGATGCTCCTCAACTGACAACATTGCAGCAGTTGCTTCTCGCCCAAGTGCCACTGTTGTAGATTTAAGTTCTATCAATCTTGCTTCTGCATTCTGAAGCTTCACAGAACTCTCTGCAGATACAGAGCCCCTGGATTTCAGCCGACGCCTCAATACTTCGGCCACCTGATTAGAAGATAAATATTTATTCACTAAGCAGATGCATCATCCAAGACCATTATATACAGGAAGTGACATCAAGATATACCTGGGCTTCCACCTCCTGACGCAGTTTATCATAACGATGAGTCAAGTGGCGAGCATCCTCCAAAGGAGCTCCCGTTATTTGCGCCCGTAAAGGTTCAGCAACCTACAAATTTCAATCCTGTACCATGATTATAAACCAAAAAGAAAGGAAAAATGGAAGAAACTACAAAATTATACAGTAAATTTTGGTAAGTTCAGCCTCATAAAAACTATGAGTAGATTCAATTGGTAAAGCCTCTTGTCATCGTGCAAAAGGCCTGGAATAATGCTGCCTGCACTAAGGTTGAGTGAGTTTGTGAGATGTGAGAGTGCTACCTCCAGTTGGGTAGCCCAATGGTCCAATGCATCTCCAACGGAGCAAAACAAAATCATCACTTATATAACTAACCAGTCACCCATACAAAAATAGCACAGATCAATTTTCTTCCCAAAATGGTATATAATTTTCAAATACACACACAGAAATTATATTGGCATGTTGGTTTCAAGAAAATGTTATGAAGCTTTTTGTCACAAGATTATTTTCAAGGGCCACATCCTGAGATTTATCCAATGTTTATAAATATAAAATAAAGAAATAAAACATAAAACATAAAAACAGTGAAGAAATTACCTGCTCACCAAGGATCTTAAGAAATATCTCTCTCTCCTCTTCGATTGAATTATGTGAACTACCAAAGAAATCCGAAGCTATCACTAGAGGAGTGCTA